CCAAAATCTGATCAGCTCGTTTTCGGACAGGTTTTTATATAAATGGATCAGGACAAAACGAGAGAGAATCTTCTTTCCTGAAACTTTCAGAATCTCTTTACACAGAGGGGACACATGTTAATGTATAAAAGACGTGAAAAAGTGGATTTGCATAATAAATAGGTGACCTTTAAGTTTTTCTCCATTGCGACCGATTTGTGTTAATGTTGCTTTTTATCATGTTTTTTTTAATAATGACGACTGCAATAGACACTTTTAATCATGCTTTCATATTGCTTGTATCCAATTTGGTTTATATGACACGATCCTGACATTGTAGTGTATGAAAGCGTGTGTGTTAGAGATGGTGAGATAGTGGAAATAAAGAGGGCGATGCGTGTTGAGCCGGTGGTGAACCTGTTGTGTGGGACCTCTCCCCTGAGGGGGCTCGGTCTGCACATGATTTGTTGGGAGCTTATGTCTCCATTTGAGACCATGTAATTCGGGATAGGGAGCATATTTTATTGGAAGGTCAAGATTAAAAAAGCTCTCTGGCTGCCCTCTACTAACTGAATGAAACACAATACCGTCTGGAGGGTTCCCGGACAGAATTCCCAGGAGATGATGTGCATGGTCGCTATTGACTTTTAAATGAGGTGCATTTGACATTGACCTTTTGTACGGCAGAGGCAGAATACTAACAGACGAGTGTAATTCATTCAGCCGGGCCTGTTGGAGGAACCTATTCAAAGACACTGATAGCTTTCTATGAGAAAGCCACACATTAGATTACCCATCCTTTATCTGTCTGCACTCTCTGTTAGCATCTGATCAACCAAATAGGAACCAAATCAAATCTTTAACTGAGTTTAAAGAAAGACTTATCTCAAATGTTATCTCTTTTAAACTGATTTAATTGAGGGTAATTGAAAACGGAGAAGATTAAAGTTTAACCGTGATTATGCATGCGTACTGAAGGAGTTGTGCATTATTCATATGGTCTTAAGTCCCTTGTATGTCAGAGATATGGTAAAATATTGTGGGAGATCCAGGGTCAAGGTTAAGATCATATAGGACACAGTGAGATAAAACACATTTGGAAGGAGGGAGAATTTTGTGCGACCATAAAAAGTAGATTCAGTGTAACTACACATTCAATACTGTTACATTTATGTATACAAAACAAGCATTTCGACTCCATTTTGCAACATTCATTATTCCTACCATTTGTAAACACTATGTCAGAGACTCCATGATATTAGCGGAAATTTGCTCAGGAAGACACTGGGCAGGTGCAATATTTATCTACTAAGATAAACATGTGACATGATGTACAAATTACAGCCATTCGTTTTTTTTTTTTTTTTTTTGTGGATAGAAATCAGCACCCTTATCTTCTCAAATGAGATTTTCTCCAGCGCTAATAACGGCTGTGACGCTCGTAATTTCTCTGTGGCTGCAGACAGTCAGTGGAGGATGGAGGATGGATCCTGTGCATTGTATTGCTCGGGGGGGGAAATGAAGAACCAGTCTTCCTGTAGTTTCTCTTCATCTGCCCTCTCTTCCTCTCATTAGCACGCCACAGCAGCTAGCCAGTCATTTGGTGACAGGGAAATGATACAGTGCTGGCAGTGTTTGGGAGGAAATGGCAGGGTGCGGGCCCCCGGCGCAGCAGGGGTCGAGCCACAGATAGTCGTGTTAAAGGCCAAGTAGGACACCTGGTTAAAGGCAGCGAGGGCATCGGGGTCGCACCTCCGCCTTGTACCGTTTTATTACCCAAAATAAATGACCCAAGATCCAACATTTGAAGTATTTAAAAATCGCTAATTATATGGAGAAACTTATTTAATGACAGTACAGGAAATTGTTACCCACATAATGAAAAAGTTACAAATATGACCAAAATCAGTGTACAATGTTATAAACTGTGTGGTCCCCACTTAATCATATTTTATATTGTCAGAGCATGATTAACCCACTAGGGGGCCCCATGGTAAATATGAGCTATGGGCCCCTTTTGATCAACTATCACATGTTTTCCACTTTCACTAAAGTATGAGAAGAGGTAGGAAGTAACTAAGTACATTTACTCAAGTACTGTGCTCAAGTACAATTTTGAGATACTTGTACTTTATTTGAGTATTTCCATGTTATGCTCCTTTCTACTTTTACCCCATTACAATTCAGACATAAATCGTGTACTTTTGCTCCAGTACATTTGATTAATACTTTTACAGATTTGGATTAATGATGTGAAATATATCAACCCTTAAATCAGACTTTAGTTCCAGTACATTCACAATCTACCCTGCAGTATACTAAGTCATTAAAACTAGCTGCTCCTTTACCAGATTTGATAACACTTTAATGCATTAATAATTATAATCAAAACATAAAATATTATTCTGAAAATGGGTGAATCTGCATAATGAGTACTTTTACTTTTGGTACTTTGAGTTAATTTTGATGCTAATACTTTTGTACTTGTACTTCAGTAATATTTTTGATTGCAGGACTTTTACTTGTAACAGAGAATTCCTACCCTCTGGTACTTTTACTACAAGGTCTGAGTACTTCTTCCACCTCTGAGTATGAGTGATGGGTTTGTTGTAACTTCATTCATTCATTCATTAAGCACAATTAATTAATTAAGCACAATATTATGTATTATAATGTTCCGTGTTATATATCCAATGTATATATGTTTTTTAAAGATATTTAAGTTATATTTGAATGGTTTATATATGTGCACAAAGTGTAGAGTACTCCAGCAGCCACAGAGAGGCAGCAAAGACTCAGGTGGAGTGCAGGTGAACTAATTTAAGGTTTAATAAAGAATAAAAGATAGGAACCGTTGAAGAGAAGGAAATATTTGAATATAATCTGTGGCACGCTTGAAACACATAGCAATAACAACTAGGCCTATGTATTTATGAACGCTTTCTGCCAGTGTATCTGTGCACATAGCATATGTAATGACCCTTCTTTTCATGGGGTTATCACAAAATCAGCTGTTTGTAGTTTCCTAGATGCACTTCATGACCTTGCTATGATTTACTTCTGACATTTACTTTTTACATTTTATGTATGTATTAATCAGAGCATTGCTAGAGTAAGAGTTAGAAAGTGCTTTGTGCCTGTTTGAGTGTCACCACCTTATTCATGTCAATATATATCTTTCAAAAATAACCAGTCATGATGAGGAAAAATATTTTATTGCATGCACAGTTCACAATGGTGGTCCCTCCATGGCTTACCATATCATGCAGACCAGCCAAAACGGTGCGTACAAAAAACACAAAATCAAACCAAAGAAGTTGAAGTCATATCTATAGAACAAATAAATAATTCTGAAATAAATAAATATCTGTATCCAGAATTTCAACATATACTGTATACAGTAAAAATCAAATCAAACTAATGATGATACAAATTAAATTCAAAGTAAGATAGATACTGCTAAACCAATTGTCTCTCCATTTTAACTGTGGGCTTTAAAATCCAACAATTAAAATACTATTTCAAGATAAAAAAATTGCATCTACACACTTCACAACGCCTACTTAAAACGGCCTAACGTCAGGACGAAAGAGAATTTTCAGGTGACCGATCTAGAGAATAAATAGCGTACAGTATCTTCTAAAACTACACATTGTACAAGTGTATACTGTAGTCTTACTACACAATGTACTGGAGTATACAGTAGTATTACTACACACTGTACAGGAGTAGACAGTAGTATTACTACACACTGTACAGGAGTAGACGGTAGTATTACTACACATTGTACAGATGTTTACAGTAGTTTTACTACACACTGTACATAAGCAAATGGCTTCTATTTTCTACTGTTTTTGTCCAGAAGGTGCTGTAGTATTTGTTTTGCTATAGAGTGGTGCAGTGACGAGTCCTAAAACCCGGAAGTGAGTTAGCATTTTACCCTATGATTTGACCACTACCGGTTCCCTCGTCTCAGAGTCAATTCTCCATAGGATTTTGGAAAATAGCTGGAAATAAGGTCTGTGGTAGACACAAATTTAAGAGACGGATCACGTTTTGTTCTACGACATTAAATACATCAGCAGTGACCACACTGGTGATTTTTTTGAAGAGTTTACGTGTCTGAAAAACGATGGTTGTTAACAAGTGGCTGAATAGGACTATGGAAGTTGTCGAGGACGTTGTACGTCATCATTACACCGAACACGCAAACACTCCCGCTAAGTTTGTTTGCTCTGGTCTGCTTGAAAGCAAGTACCTGCGCTCTTGCAAACTGTTAAAACAAAAGCTTCAACTTGTACAATTTTGAATCTGTATTTTTGAATATCGATCTTAAGTCGTGACGTTGAAGCAGCGACCCTGCTGTAGTTCGTTTATCGCATAACGTTAGCATTTTGCTTCTGGCGATTAGATTTATGATTAGAAAATTATAAAAGTAGGGTAGACATGTGGATATTATCCGGCTGAACAAAACGTGCATTTATCAAACAGGTTAGTTTTCCACAGATCTTATTTCGAGCTATTTTCCAAAATCCTATGGAGAAATCCCATTGCTCTTTTGTCGAGGGAAGCCATGCACAGCTTATTTCCGGGTAAATACGTCATCCCTGCACCACTCTATTGCTCTTTACTTCACTGACAGTTAAACCCAGAAACACAAGGAAACTTATTTATCCCTTACAATTTCCAACCTTACATCTACTGAGGATAAATGAGATATTGTAAGCTGCAGCTCTGTAGCATTTGATGAAAACAGAAAACGTTGTATTGTGGGTTGTCTTTAATGTTTCTTAAAGATTGTTGCTGAGCTTTTCAAATGCTAATCTCTTTGTACCATACAGCTAGAGCGGCTATCTCAAAACCTCAACAAATCAAACACTGTCTGGGTTGCAATGTGCACTATGTTGTGTTTTAACCTGAACTTTAAAGACCAATACGGACGCGTGTCAGTATGAGTCTGCTGCTTCATTTATAACTGATTGTCCACAGCTCATCTAGATGGAGATCCTTATGCAATTAGCATCACTTTAAACAGGCGTTTTTAATGGTATATAGCAATAACATACTGTACGTGATTATGTCTCACAGACAGCCAGGACACAAAGCTTTTCCCACACATCAAAGAAATACATTTTGTATTCTTATCTAATTCACTGTTCTAAAACCATCTGAGTTGCCCCATCTCATACACTCTGGTTCAACGATAAAAAATATATGGTAAGGGAATTCTGTAAAAATACATAATGAAAATAATATATGAAAATGTTAAATATTTAACAATCATTTTCCCTAAATCTGTCCTCTTGATTCAGCTTGTTGTGCATACAGTGTACTGATTCATTACTGATGCATGTCCTGCATCTGGCAAAGAGAACATCTGGATCCTGTCTGAAGAAAACAAGTGTGTGTGTACAATATTGGACTGAGATACTCTTTGGTTGTCTCGGATAAAACAAACTGTCGCTGCCAGATCTTTAAATGGTGAAAAATACAAAAAGATGTCCAGTGTCATGAGTGAACCTGCATCTCAATCACTTCTGATGTGATTTGTGTGGGTAAAAGGCTACTAAGTGGACCTTTAAGTCAAACTCAACACCTTTTGTTTGCACCTTCATGTTCTGGGTTTTTCTTAGCAGTTGGGAAGCACTTCCATCTTCAAACGTGCTGTTATTGCAGCCTGCTGCTTCTCCACTAGGGGGAGCTGTTGTATCATTCTGAGAACAGCTCAGCCAACTTGTGCCTGTAAGAACTAAAGTAATAGCAGCAGGTTTGGTTTCGACACATGGATCAAGACCTATAGATGTCTTCCAGGCAGTTTAGTTGAAGTAGATCTGCTGGCCGTGCAGCTGGACCTGCTTTCAGGCGTTTTGAATCACTGACACTGTTATGGACCTATGCAAACACGTGTGCATTTAACCTAAGATGCTTCTGTTTCTGCTTAGTCCCATCTGTGGTGTCACTCTCCTGACTGAGCGGCCTCTGATTGCTGACTGAGTCCTGAGAGATAGATGAGACAGCGATAAATCGTTCCTTGGCAATCCGACAGTGTGGCTGACACAGTGGGGGGGGGGTGCAGTGAGAGCTGCTCTCTTAAGCACGGGGCTCCAGCCTGTGAGACAGTTCAAACAGAGTCTGCTGATTGTCGATGATATGCAGGTCGTCGATGTACGCTCGCACTTCTGCGCTGCTCTTCTGGGTGATGCCGTTACCTGGAGGGACAGGAAATGGTTTAGCTCCAAGCCAGGGCAGCATTTAAACATAATGATGTCATAGTATTGATGGCCTGGGAACAATCAAATTCTGTGAAAGGGCCATTGGAACCAACTTTTATTTCTCCTTATGACATGTTGTGGATCATAAATACTTCCCAAATTATATTTAAATCAAAATGTGATGATTGTGAACATCATGGTAAAGAGTATTTATTTGATTTTAACGATATGAGGACAGTTTATGTCAAAGCTAACAGATGTTGTCCACAGATTTGCCTTTACAAGAATGAATCTACAACATAGATTTTTAATAGTTACAAAGTAAACGTCAAAAATATTGTTAGATTTCACACCCTAAAATGAGTGATGAGAATACTGACCCATGGGATCTTTCTGACACTGCCGGATGAGTCGCACTGTCTCTGCGATCATGTGCTGGAAATAAGATAAACACCGCTCCGTTAGACATTACAAATTCAGCACTGCCTGATGTTGTCATTGCCGGAACATGAAGTGCTGTGAAGGGTTTGTGAACTCACCAGCTTTTCAAAATTAACCAGGTTATCATGAAACGTCTTGTTGCCTTCGTGAATGAACGTAATATCTAAAAAAAGGAAAGTCTTTTGTTAGTTTTCATCAACAGGTATTTGATGTGAAATGTCTGTTTGTTGCTACATGTCAAACCTGCCTGATGGAGATACTTCACAGAGCTCTCCTCTCAGGCGTGTGTAATAATGTGACAGAATAATAAGCGTACCTTTCAGTAGCAGAGGAGGGAAGGGGATCTTTGGAGCCTTCATCTTCTTGAAGGAGTCCCTGTAGGCCTTGTGGTTCAGCGAGGGATCCTGAAGACATTTTCAAAACAAATGAGTGTAATCCTCTGGGGAGGAGTGTGTGTGCCTGTGCATGCATGCTTTGTTATCTGAGTTATGGCAGCATAAGTGACTAATGATCATCTAAAACACCTGCTGTTCTGAAATGAAAAAACATCTGTTTGTTTTACCTCATACACACTGAGGCACAGGGTTGTATTCCCTAGTGCAGTGAATAAATATCAATGTTTATTCATTTCAAAACAGATATATACAGTGTGGTGTCCACACAGAGTACCATGAATTACACTTACTGTAACTGTCTCCAGTTCTGTAAACAGCTTTTTGAATTTGCCAGGCATCTTCTGTAGAGAAAATAACATGATTTTTGTTCAGAGGTTCTTCTCATAAAAGCTGGCACAGATGAAAAAAGAAGTAAAGAAGGCACATCTTTACCTCCCATGTCTGACTGAGGCGGCTAACAGCTGCAGTGGTCAGGCCCATTATAATGGCGAAGAAACAGTTGAGGTTCCTCTGTGCTTTACAGCTATAAAAGATCAATGGAGCACACAGTTCAGTGTCCTGCAGAGCAACCAAAGCCAATGCAGTTCATTGATCTACCACAGGAGGGGGCAGCATCCCCATGCAAGGCTTGGAGAAGGAATGGCCAACAGTGTGTGTGACTCACAATCAATAAGTCTTGCAGAAGGATGTGAGAACAGCTACTTACTGAGCAGCGATCTTGATGAACTTCTTGATGAGTTGGACCCGTTTGCAGAGCGTTGGGCACAGCAGCACCTCGGTCATCACCCACAGCTGGACCTCATTGCAGCGCTGCAGCAGCAGCTCCAGCGCCACCGTGTGGCTGCTGCTGCTGTGGCGACTGAAGGTGAAATACACCAGTTCTTGCTGTAAAGGAACAACATCATGAGGCAGAGCAAGCCACGGTTGAGTCCCGATGTGACATCAGTGTCACAGCGATATTTATCTCATTTTGTTTCATGTCAATTTGATCAAGAAATGTTTCCACAACAGGTTAAATGTAATAAAGGACATGTTATGTAAGCATTTTAATTCTTAAATGGCTTGAATTTTACCTTTAGCAACAAAAAATAAGCTTTTGAAATGTAGCTAGTTCTGTCACATGTGTTAGTCTGGCACATGGACATCTTGGACATGTTGTTATGGAAACACAAAATCAAATGACCTGGCCCATGACCCACCAGACTGTTCAACGTGTCACTTAGAGACTTCATGAGATAAAATAAAGGCTAAAGCTGTAAAAAGAACTTTCCAGAACATTTAAATGTCATGTGACACCTGTGTCACGGTGGGTCGTTATGGGTTAAAAGGCAGCCATTCAGGCACGAGTATTCAAGTTGTGGGACAAACCTCGTGTATTGAGGCAAAGATGGTCCAGTCAAAGTTGGTGAGAGCGACCGCCACGTCCCACGTGTTTAAACTGAGCATGCGTGCCGTCCTCTGTTGGAGCTCTGAGTTGTCGGTGAACGGGTTCTGAGGGGGGGAAATATCCAACAATATCAGGCAATGGAGTCTTGAAGCTTCTAACCTCTGCACATTATGTCATTTGCTGCTTCTGAGCTGATGTATGAATGTGTATAAATTAGCTCCACAGATTGTGAACAGTATGTCCAAGTCATAGTATTTGGGGAATCATTGGCTTAGGTATTTAACCTTTGACACAGTTCATTGTTTTCTCCTTTCACTGTCTCTTTTCCCATGGCATAGGTCTACGGCCTTGGGTATTGCTGCCATCTCACCTTAAGGAGGGGCAGCTTGGGCGCATTGTTGTTGCCAGTTTATGACCGAGCACAAGCCGCAATGAGATAGTTTATGTTCAGGGACATCTAGAGGCCCTTCTTTTCTGGTTTGGCAACCGCTGTGTCACCTCGTGGCGGCAGCACCTGTCTTGTCAAATTCTCCGGCCGTAACTCCATAATAAACCATCAGTGTTTGCCTCTCCCTGTGTCCCTCTGAGTTTCGTCTCCATTGCTTCAGAGGTTTCCATCACAATAGTATCACATTGCAGTGACATTCTTACCAGGACTTCACCCAGGTCCTTCCTGCACACATGCAGCCTCCCCACCGGCCGTAGTGAATCAGAGAAGACTCTGTCCTGAGGCTGCAGCAGGAGCCTCCCTGCAGGGGACAGATGTATCACAAAGAGCAGAACACCATTCAAAATCTGTCAGGCAGTGGCGAGAGATAAGAGTCACTGTGCCAGAATACACTCTGAGGGGGCCAGTCCCTTCAGTCACTGATAACAGAAACTGATCTTATGATACTGTACTGTAATGATTATTTCTTTTAACTGTTGTCATAGGGAAGATATCAATGCCAGCTCTATTAACTACAATCTCACATCTCTAGATTCAATATAGGAATAAAAACTCAAGCATGAATTTTTTTGAAAATCTTTCGTAATACCACAAATTTGTCTTAAACATTTACTTATAGTCAACTCCAATAAGATATGTAATAACAAGGATTTTTAGAATGACCTATTTGTTATCTATTTTGTACTGAATTGTACACTGATGGTAATTATTGCTGGAAACTATATGTGTATAAATATTGAAAACAATGTTGACATATGCAAATTCTCCCTTCCTGATCAGATTGACACCGTTGTGTAAGTTAGCGTATATGAAGCATTGTAATGGCCATAGTAAGTGTTTGTTGTGCAATATGCTGGTTGGTTAGAATAGTATTTACCCCCATTGTAAGTGACAGCCACCAGCACCAGTTCCCCGAGTGGGACGTCCATCCTCTCTGCCACGGCCTGAAGCAGCTCCTGGGCCACCACCCCGCCGTGGGCCCTCATACTCAGGAACGAGTCCATGGTGATATACACGTGACACAGCACTGTAACAGAGAGAACATTTGAGAAAACCTAAAAGCATACTGCATTCATCAAAGAGGAAGAATCATTTGTGTTGATTTGGACCCAGCATTACTAAATCAGGCTAATGGTCCTTTTTTAACGTAGTGTTGTTCACAGTATTTTTGCTACATATGGCCTCTTTGGTAACGCATTTCCTCTTGTGGTTACAGTTATGTATGAGCAATTTGTTTTAAATTGAAGGCGTTTATAGATGTTGTGTTAGCTGAGATTCTGATTGTGTGACTGTAAAAGCTTTACAAGGCTAAACTCCTGGCTGGCAGTTCACTAAAAGAAACAGAAACATAATAGTTACACACAAAATCCATCTCAAAGCAACTAATATTCCATCACAGTTTCATTATATATTTAGGCATGAACTAATAATCAGATGCTGCAGTAATACGGGTTTTCTAAATAATAACATTTTGAAACTAGATTATGACACAAAGACACAAGACTTCCTTATAATGCAGAAACATCTTAAAGATATTATATTTAAAACAATTTAGCAGGACACCTTCAGCCAGAAAGAAATCACAATTAATGAAGTCACCTTCTGCCGTCAGGAAGGAAAGGATCTAACGGGGCTGCCTCTTATTGATAAGGTGACCTTTAGCAGAGCACCGACTCCACTGCTCCAGTGTAACCACTCAACTGGAGAGGGCTGGCATTACTGGGATGGACCAAGCATACTCAATAGATTTATCTTGATGAAGGAAAAGGGTCAGTGGGGACAATTTCTTTGGTCGAAAGCAGTTTGAATGAAAATGTATTTAAAGAGAGGTCTGTATTATCCAGAAGCAGAAACCTCTAAAAAAGATCATTCATCAGCAGATAAAGTCAAACTGTCTGCATGGCTAGATTGTATTAAAAGGGGACTGTTTCTTTATTTGATTTGGGTGAACCTGGCATTTAAAATAAGCAAAAAATTACAACAATAACACAAAAGAAACTCACAAGTCATCAGTCAGGAATTTCATTTCAGAAACTTCTTGTCCCTTTCTTGGAAAGCGTCTATTGTTCTACTGTTCAGTCTAAATGTCTCGACAGATTTGGAATCAGCGTACAGTATGCTGGGAAGAATGTGTGAAGAAACACCGTGTTTTACGACTTACCTTCCTTGTTCTCCCTCTGTGTTCCTCTGGACTGGAGCCTGTTCTCTTTTAGGCTCGATTGGTGGAAAAGTGCTTTGCTCTAAAAAGAAAGGAAATCCGTGGATTTTGACATGCAGTCATATTGCCTGGGAACACTGCGGGCATTTAGCTAGAACTATAAAACAATGTGTAAAGCAGGAAATGGAACGACAATAGCTCCAACACCCTATAGAGTATGAATGGTCGGCCTGCTTTGTTTAATACAATGATTTCTGTCTTAAATATGTCGTAAAGAGGTTTCATGAGATATTTTCACTCACCTTTCTTTGAGGGGAATAGTTATCCACCGTACTGGAAAAGAAAGACAAATAAATCAGTAAAATAACAATTTTTGTCCTGTTTTATAGAAGTACAACAACACCACTTCACCAGTCTTTAATCAAGGTAAAATTAATGTAGCTACACATATACTCATTTGCAGTGTTCAGTCCATTATTCAAGATGAGTGTCAACATGAGATTAGATTGCTTTGTAGATTGTAGACCTTCCCTTGTGATCCCTTCGTTTAATCACCTTACAGTATTGTCATCAGTCAGACTCGACTAGCAAGATGGATAGGCCCGTATCCATTAGCATCCCTCTGCTTTCACTGGGCTCAGCATCACAATAGGCATGTTGGCACAAAGCCTGCCCTGAGGGATCCCCCCTCTCCGGCTAGCAGCAGGCCTGCACTAATGAAAAACCTGATTCCCACTGAATTGTCAAAACAGAGCTTGTGATCAAATTGACTCTTTTGCTACTCAAAAAAAAGTGAGCTCTGTGAAATATACCCTCCTGAGCTTTCAGAAACATGTGATTTTAGCTTCACACAAAGGCCTGATAGAAGTTTCTGCGATCAAAGTGCTGAGTGAATCTTCTTTCCATAAAAAAATACACCTTTTAGCTTTTTCGCTTGGCAGCAGATTGTCACAAAGCAGAGATCCTAGCCCTCCCCCGGAGTGAGCCTGATTGTCAAAAGCTCATAAATAGTAGATTATGTCAGTTGGTAAAACCCTCACAAAGTCCCTTCTTTAAAGGAGTGGGTGTTGAGAATCCCCCTGCATATAAACATGAATAAAGTAGGCGCCGAGTCAGGGTGATTATCTGTGCTTGGTTCTAATGGGCGGCAAGTCGGAGCATCCCCCAGGGAGGAGATCTGATTGGAGGCTGTGGCTGAGGGAGGGGAAGGGGGACACGGGTGTGGCAATGTGTCTGCTGACAGGGGGTTGTTTACACTGAAACATGTCAAAGAGAAATGTGATGCCTATTGTTATTAAATTCTAATTAAAAAACGAAAAACAGAATCAATATTCAAGACTCAACAAAATAAATTTGAGTTATGGCTATATTTAATATACAGCACATCAATAATGCACACATACAATACTGAATGTAAAAGAAGCTGACTCCTTGTCCAATGTAATGGTCAATCTATAACTTGTATAGTGCATCATTGTGTGTAAGTAAGCTTGAGTCCATGTGCGCATGTACACATGCATGTTTAAGATTCACTGACATACAGTAAGTGTGTGGCGTTGTTGCACTGAGAGAAGGGTCGATGTAATAAGCTACTGTAGGGCTTCAGCTTACACGTTTGTGGGGATTGCTATTATCTCTTTTTGACACAGATGTATTATTTTGTGGTTGTGTAAACGCTTGAGTACAATTGTATGTACTGGTTAAATAACAAGGAAAAGTCAAGTGTTAAAAAACAATAAATCCGAGGGATCAATGACACAATTGGTGTCAAAATGTGTTGTGTGGTTAGATCGTACAATTCTTTCTCCTCATGATAGCAAGCAAAACCTATACTCAGTGTATTTGCCGATACTGAGCCTTTTTTTTTTATCCGAGATACTTTTTTTTTCAGTATTGAAAATATGTATACTGTGCCGCAGGGAACTTATTGTAATCCTTTTTATACAAGGAGACATGAGGCCAGGGTTTGCCAGCTGTCAGAACAAAAATAAATCTAAGTGTGGACGTTAATGATGAGGATGTTTTAAGTTATGTTCGCATTTGATCAGTGCAGTAGGTATTTTACATGTATATGAATTTGGGGTTGTATAGCTAAAATTGTGTCCAGTTAATGAGTAGTTGAACATCCTTCTTCTCATGGCAAGTGACACATTTCAAGGAGCATGTCATTCATTCTCAAAATGTCTGTATTTCCTCAATTTTAGAGATTAATGACAAAGAGCCCGGTGACCTTCATATTTCTGTGCATAACAACCCAGAACATTGAAATTAGTCTCCAGCCTCTGAATGCATTCATTGATGAGAGGCTAAATAAAGGCACCAGGCAGAGAAGCAGCTCTTTCTTTGCACTCAGAGACCAGCGAGTGTCTCTGCTTCTTTTCAGACCTCCAACAGTCATAACCACAGTTTTAACACACCCAGACCAGATATCAATAAATGTATCAGTTTTTCCATTTTATAGATTATTTACACAAAGTGAGTTTGCCCCAACACTATAGGACACACTACCTTTAGATATCAGGAAAGCTCTCTTCACTTTACCTTTGAAATAGCTATAACCTTTCTGACACTTTTCTGGACTGTGACTTTGGGTTGTGCCTGACACAGATCAGACACACAGTGAGGTTGCAGCATAGGGAATACATTGAGATGCAAAATGCTTAATTCGATGTTATCACAACCGATGGTGAGTCTGTGTCGGTTGGGAAAAGTAGGTTCTGTTGTGTTCATTTATAGCCTCAGAGACCGAAGGGTAGAGAGCGCACTTGAGGCGAAAATGCCACATAATACTTTCTGAGATTTCGTCTTAAAAATGTAAATCTCTGCCATTGATGTAACAAAGAAAAGATAAGAACACAGTAGAAGAGAATGGAGCTCTTTTGATGGTGCTGGAAGGTTTATTGATGTATCGGTGCATGATTCACATATCAGTACTGCATTTAGACTTTTGATATGCGCTCTATGTATTTCTATTTCATCTTTTTAATATATGTTGTTGTTATATTATCAAGTGGGTCTTATTTTCCATCTCCTTTGCATTGATTATATTATGTCATTCTACCCTTGTTGTTTTGTTCATTCTGTCTAATTTACCCCATTTAAAAGCTATTTTTTCTGCGATTCTTTTATCAAAGGTGCTACTGTATGCGATGATCTTTGCTTAGTATGTATGGAATCACCCTGTGTCTCATGACCTGAAATATGAAAGAAGGTTATCATAAGGTCACTCACTGTGTGCGGTGCAGCTGGTACAGTCTCTGCAGTTCCCTCACATCCTTCTCCAGGGATGGGTGCTCATAGAGATCATCCAACACGTAACGATACAAAGTCTGGAAGGAAATGTCAATTTTCATTTCTCCAATATTAACACACCCAGTTTCCATCCTTTTCCTTTCTGAACATTATATTTCCTACCTTCATGAACAGCTTGACATGCTCGTCGTCCCTCAGGAAGTCTCTGCAGAGGGCCATCCACTGCGACACCAGGTGAAGGACTTTCTGTTTCCTCTCCACAGCCTCCTTCCTGTCCTCCTTCCCTCTGTGGCGCTTGGTGCAATAGGTGGGATTCAGTTAAGGCTTCAGCACAGATGGAGAGCGAGATCTATTTGCTGGTCAAATGCAGCATACAGTGAAGCATGTATAAAGCCAGTGTGTATGTGTGTGTGTGTGTGTGTGTGTTTGTATAAGGACAGGCGGCGGAGTGTGAACACAGCTGAGTGTAGTGGAGTAGCTTTGACTCAATAAAGCAGTCGTGTGTTTGTATAAAACACCTACGCCTGCCTTTAGCATTCACAAAAGAAGGTTATTATGTGTCGATATTTGTAATAATGTTTCTGTAATGCCCGTGTTTTTAAGGATATTGTCCCAGCAGAGCTTGACATAAATCACTGGTTGACATGAACACTGGGTAGGTCAGCAGAAAATCATCCAGTAGTGTATCTGTAAGGAGAAACACGTTATTGACAATTGACAAAAAATTCCAGGTTCGTGAACATTTTGGAAAGAAATATACGATTATATGTGATATATAATATATGACTTGTATGGTAATTGGGATATGATTCACAATATCGAAGGGAATGATCATTTTTGCATCAATATTCATGTTTTCAGTAACAGTTTTTTTTTATCGCAGATACATATATGCAGCGCCACAATATTTCATCCCATTAATTATTCAGCTTTATTTTCTAATAATATAACTTGATTTATAGATATATATTGAATAAATCCAACACACACACAGCCTCTTTAGGTTTGTGAGAGGATGCTGGTGGGCAAATACACCAGTGACCTTGACAACTGTATGATTCATGTTCGCACATACAGTATGTCTGTACTTTTAATTGAGCTGAGTGACTTTGCACCAGTTCTTCCTATTCCATTTCACTAATACTAGAAGTAGAGCTCCCTTTTTGCAGTCAAATACCAGTTAACAAGCACTAAGCAGAGACATTTCAGAGGCGAGGATAATGTGAGAGACTTTTGAATGGCACATTATTCTAAGGTGCTTGCCACACGAGGACGATAAAGGTCGTATCTGCTACAGTTCTCTATCAGATAGGCGGTTCGGCCACACGAGGCCGACACGGAAACGCAGAAAACGATAACGATAACGGGTCCCTAGGTGGGTAGATCTGCAAACGACACGCTCCGGGGGGGCAAACGGCTCCGTGTTTACGCCTATACGATCATGTCCTGAATAACGTTGAAGCAATAGCCCCGCCTCTCCCCACCTCTCCTGCTCAGAGATCAGCTGCTGGGCTCTCAGAAGAGGGGGAGGAAAAGAGAGGCTCCGTTTATTATTATTATATAGAGTCGTTATTCATTTGTTTTAAAGCTCAATAAATAACAAAGAAGACCTTTGACCGGCACTTTTCAAATTTTGTCCGGAAGATTTAAACTTTAACATGTACAGCACTTTGGCTCGACCAAAAATCGCTTTTAAATGTGCTATATAAATAAAACCTGATTTGATTTGATTTGATTTAACGGACATGTTGACTGGCGAAAAAAAAATCTAACTGAAACTCTGCTGCACGGTCCCCTCGTCCCTTGGAAGAAGCGGAGAGGTGGGTGTTTGTCATCTGCTACCGGAGAGATATACAGCAGGAGCAAACGCTTGCCTCGGGGAGGGAGAAAAAGAGCCAGAGCGTCCACAGCGGAGAATAAACAGAAGGGCAACCATGGCAACCATGCGCGGGAAGTCTTCTTCGCCCTCTTTTGTGGTAGGAGTACAGCGCCACTTACAGGCCTGGCATATGTACTACAGCGTCTCCAGCGCTTTCGAGCAGTCTCGTGTGAACGGACACGTTTCTGGTGCCTGTTGCGTGTGGACGGAATACTTTTTTGATAACGATTGCGGTCCGTTATCGTTATCATCCTTGTGTGGCTGCAGCCTAAGTGGTCAGTCTTAAATAATTGCATGTGCTGAAACCACTAAGGATTCCTCTGTTCCATTTTTGGGCCAACAAGTTCAAACAAGCCTTACTGGCCTTATCTTCAATCTCACACATTAGTCATTGCAAGCTGTATCAGAAAAGATAAGCCAATAATGTGCCAGTTGACTCTCTTCGACCTCTAATGAAGTGTACAGTATGTTTTATTTCTGACTATCTTGCAACCAGAAATAAAAGCATCCGATATTGCTTGACCATTATCCTAATGTGTTTACAAGCAACCACTGTATCCTTATGAGCTTCTTCCCAAGGTTACACATGGGAAAGTGTTTCTGTAAAAGGATTAAATCAAAGCAGGCCAAGTAGACCACCAGCTCCCCTTAAATAACATGAAATGCATTCATAGTTCATCATCAAAACACTTAATTTTTTTAACCTTGATAAACAAAGACAGAATCCCAGAATCTCTTAATAAAATGAAATAATTTGGCATTATAAGAAGCTGTAAAAATGAATTTCATAAATTGCAAAAACACTCAAAGTCAAGGCGTAAATTCAAAGACTAAGTCCAAGACATGATGCCGACCACAAGCAAAAAAGCTTTGCAAATCCTATTAAGACCAACGTCCCCTCAACCCTTGTGTAAGTGTGCCTCATATCCAGAATTGTATATTCTCCCCTTTAATTTCACACTGGCTTCCCAGGGCCTTTGTGTACGTTCTGGTCCACAGGACTCGCTGACATCATTATGCTAATCCACGCAGAGCAGCTGTGGATGCTTCACTCAATGCTTATAAGAGGTTACACACTCATACATATGTAGCTCCCATAAAGAATACAGTCACCCACCTTAACACAAAAGCCAGAATAACAACATGCAAAAGATCAGCCATCCAACCACACACCGTACTGTCACACACACACACACACACACACACACACACACACACACACACACACACACACACACACACACACACACACACACACACACACACACACACACTACATTTGAGTTGTAACAAATAATTATGAATGCTAGGACAGTGTCTTACATTAAAGGTTCCCTATTATAGTGTTTTTCATCAATATATTATAGGTCTCAGATATATACAAAACATGTCTCTGAAGTGTTTGGCTCCAAATACCAAACAGATCCTGCATTGTAGCATCCCATAATCCCCTCTGTTTCAGCCCTGTTTCAAAAGAGCTGATTCTCTGTCTGTTACTTCAGATGAAAATAAGGAGCCACTCCCCACGCCCCTCTGAGAGATATTTGGTTAAAAAGAACACAATGGTGCTCTAGGAGGAGATTCAGGTGATAAGGTGGGGGGGGGGGGGGGGTGTTACCTTGGTTGGTGATTGGCTAATGGTTACACAAGGCACAACATCGTTATGACATCATAAAGTGGCCAAAATCTGATCAGCTCGTTTTCAGACAGGTTTTTATATAAATGGATCAGGACAAAAAGTGAGAGAATCTTTTTTCCTGAAACTTTCAGAATCTCTTTACACAGAGGGGACGCATGTTTGTCTATAAAAGACATGAAAAAGTGGATTTTGCATAATAGGTCCCCTTTAAATATGAATTACATTGAATTTATTTGGCGCAGTTTGCAGATGTTTTATCTAAATTCAGCTTTTAAACAAGTGCATTTGACAGCGGCTCAGCTAAAGATTGCATATCTTTATAACAAAAAACTGATTTGTGCTTGAACGCAAACACCAGATACATATTACACAAATCACACAATCATTGTATGAACACTAGATTGCACTATCTTCAGTGGAAAGAGGCATAATATTAGAATGGTGTTGTAGCTACTTTAGTAAACATTATAATGTTATCTCAGCAGATAACATTATAATGTTATCTCAGCAGATAACATTATAATGTTATCTCAGCAGATAAACTTTAACCCGAGAGGCCCACACTGATTGTGTGCCAAACACAGCTGGGTCCGTGAGGTGACAGCGAGATCAACAATAATGGAAGTCTGGAGGTGATAAACTAGCCCACCCATAGCTTAAAGCTGGAGCCACACGAGGACGATAACGCAAACGGACCGCAATCGTTATCAAAAATGTCTTCCGTCCACACGCAACAGGCACCAGAAACGTGTCGGTTCACACGAGACCGCTCGAAAGCGCTGGAGACGCTGTAGTACATATGCCAGGCCTGTAAGTGGCGCTGTAGTCCTGCCACAAAAGCAGCGAAGAAGACTTCCCGCGCATGGTTGCCATGGTTGCCCTTCTGTTTATTCTCCGCTGTGGACGCTCTGGCTCTTTTTCTCCCTCCCCGAGGCAAGCGTTTGCTCCTGCTGCTGTAATTCTCTCCGGTTAGTCCACCAGCAGATAAAAAACACCCACCTCTCCGCCTCTTCCAAGGGACGAGGGGACCGTGCAGCAGAGTTTCAGTTAGATTTTTTTTCGCCGGTCAACATGTCCGTTAAAGTTTAAATCTTCCGGACAAAATTAGAAAAGTGCTGGTTAAAGGTCTTCTTTGTTATTTATTGAGCTTTAAAACAAATGAATAACGACTCTATATAAGAATAAAAAACGGAGCCTCTCTTTTCCTCCCTCTCTTCTGAGAGCCCAGCAGCTGATCTCTGAGCAGGAGAGGTGGGGAGAGGCGGGGCTATTGCTTCAACGTTACCTTTAAAAAAAAAACCTTACCTTTTACACACACACACACACACACACACACACACACACACACACACACACACACACACACACACACACACACACACACACACACACACACACACACACACACACACACACACACACACGTATTTGTGTATTCTCTCCAAGCTATCTAGACTGAAACACTTCATACCACTCCCCAGGCTGAACACTGCAAGTTTTTTGAAGTTGGAAAAACAGAATAAATATTTAATCTCACATCCTAGTCATATTCTCAAATTTCTTCTTGTGAACACAGCAGAAAAATCAGGGGATTTCCAGAGGAGTATTTTCAATCCAAACAGTTTGGCAGAAGATGTGTTGACCCAAAAACATTTATGCATGAATTGTGCTGTATAAATACCATTTAATGGTCTGTTTGGCTGATTTGTAACCACTTTAGTGGTTTTTGTTTCAGTTAGCATCAGTTGGGGATGTAGAGACATCTGAATCCTATTCCTCACTGCTGTTTAGAAGTCTGTACTAGTTCATATATAACACAGAATCATGCTTCTACTCAAGCAAAATACATTTAGTATAATTTTCCAAAGAATTGCAAAATGGACTCATTGATTTAGCTTGCCAATCTCCTGTAAAATCAATCAATCTGTCAATCTACCTGCCAATCTTTTTCGTATTACAATAAGTGCTCGTAAAATTGATCATTGCATCCTTTGAAATAAGCATGTTAATGTGTCACTTAATGGCCCAGTCAGCACCAGAAGACATCCGATTGATGTAAAAGCCTTAAATCTTAATGATAGTCTGCATCTAGAAATGCTAATATTATATCCGCTCATTTAATGCAATGTTTTCTTCCCTAAACAAATAAAATAAAGCATCAGCATCTCTGCGCACGGTGCAGCAGTAAAAGAGCTGGCATATCCTCTCATTAAACACACAAATATGTTATTCAGAGCTGGCACTGTTTAGATTCTGTGCTCAGCAAGAATCAATAGCTGCACTGAGAGGTTGGGCACAGAGAAGAAGGACACACTGGATGCTACCCACAATGCTAGCCCACATAAGGAAACACTAGCATATACTGTAAGAGCCATAGCCTACTGAGGTTTGCTTCTCCTCAAACATGCCTGTGGTGCTTCCAGAAAAGTGCCTTCTCCTGCAGAAACCTTGCCTGCATTGTGTGTTAATGGTGAGTACAAAGCTGAGCATGTGCTACCATGATGAGCTGTAATTGGCTTTCTAATGTGCTGTACAGCATGTAAGTCATAAACAACATCAATCACCTGCTGCAGCCATCAGTCATGTTGCTGCACGCTCTCTCTGGAGAGGCCCAAACACGGCAGCTTTGTAGATGTTGAAATAAATCTCTTTTTGATGAAATCAAGGATCTCATGGTATCTAGGTCTGGTGCGCTGAATCTCCAAGGGCACACGTAGCAGTAGCACTAGAGCATACAGAGCTTCAGTATTACCAGAGAGAGAGAGAAAGAGCCAAGGCCAGCACGAAGTCAGACTATTAAACCTCACTGAGTGCAGATCAATTGCTGTTCGGGACTCAGTTCATTCCTTCTCCTCCTCAGGTCTCCTGCTCTTTGACCCTGGGATATCGCTCAGCTTCCTGCTCTGGTCAGCAGCTCCCCATGGATTCTTCATTTGAATACACTTTCTGCAATGTGAGCTAATGGTGAATGATTCATCAACTACACACTACCTGCTGAACACAAAGCTTACAGTGAAAATGCGTACTACATTTTAAAAGGGAGTTCTTACCCCCCTGTCCGCTCATGTACTTGCATGTCTTACTTTATATTAAGGCTGCATATAACAATTACTTTCATCATCAAATACTCTAACCATTATTTTCTAAATTAATCGACTGGTCTACAAAGTAGTTTCAAGTCCATCCTAGTTTCTGAAAGCGGAATGTGATGTGTTTAATGTCTTGTTCTGCCGGTTCAAAAGCAAAAGATATCCACTTGAATATGATGTAAAACAAAGAAAAGCAGGATATCCCAATATTTGAGAGGCTGAAAACTGCATTTTATGCAATTTTTTGGCATGAAAACTAAAATAGTTTGTTAAAATGATTTTCTGTCGAATGCATAACTGATTAGTGAGCAAGTCTTTGCATCTCTACTGTATATCAGTATAAAAGACTGAATTATAGCGATAAAAATGCAATTCAACATATAACATAAATCTCCTTTGCAAATGCACCGTCCTCCAGCTGCAGGCCCTTCTCCCCAGAGGACATTTAGATCAATTTCATTCACTTCCTCATCAGAATGAGTAATGATCTCTGGTACTGGGTTAGGCTGCGTCAATCTCGGTAAGAGATCATCTGTGACCATTTTCAATAAAAAATCTGCATCTCCTTTTTCTTCCCTCCTCGTTCCCCCTTTTCTCCAACATACATGTTTCTCCCTTCCCTTTAGTGTTTTTGTTCCTCTGCTAGTCCTACTGTGGTGCGACTCTCAATCATAATTTCTCCTCTGACAATCTTTCCAGCTCAATCAGCTGAGTCTCCTCTGCCTTGGCAACAGTGTCACATTATCATGTACCTGCTGGGATGAGAGGAAATGTGTTCATTTGTCGCCGCTGTGAGGCTCGACTGCATTTCACAGTCTGATTCGGCATTACTCAAAGGATATGAGCAACGTTTATCTCTGTTATAGGCTTTTAAATGGCTTAAACTTGCCATTCTGGGATTGATAGCACATGATTAACCCAGTGTTATTGCCCTGAGGGGGCTGCTGTCCCAGCTCCTCTGTGAGAGAGAGGGATGAAGAGGGGAGAGAGTGAAACGGAAAGTCATGCATGTCTTTTCTCTTCGATATGTCTAACAAACAGAAATATCATTGGACCTGGGGAAACACATACATTTAACAATGACACAGTATAATCAAAAAGTTGTCGAACCACTCCTTTTTTTAAATGTCTGCTCTCTAAAAAACAAGAAGAAATGTGACTAAACACAGTAAGGACAACAATAATGAGAAAAAGGACTTGCATGCTCACCTGACTCTTTGCCCTGGGATGTCCCCTGGTCTTCTTCTAGTGTCAGGTCATTCAGCAAGTGCTCCAGGATCTTCTCTGGGGTCCCTGAGACCACCACGAACCTGTCAGACACAACAGAGTCAGTGGAAGAGTCCTCGTCGATGGAGGACAGAGAGCGGCTGCTGCTCCATTCCTCCTCTCCCTCCGTCCCCTCATCGTCTATGTATCGGAAGTAGGGGACGTCAAAGGTGGGCATTGTCAGCGGCTCTGCCCGGCTGGTGCTGTCGTTGCTGCTCTCCTCAGAACCTTCCTCATCATCCTCGTCCTCCTCCTGCTCGACCAGGGCAGCGTGCAGCAGCCTGCCCTCCTCCTGCCGCAGGTTCGGGGGCTGTGGCCGAGATCCCATCCTTGCCGAGTCCCGGTGCCCTCACACAGGCAATGTTGCAGTGGTTACTGCTGCGTGCCCCTTTCACCCATCCATCCATCCATCCACCTGCAGCTGCCACAGCCCGGAGTCCAGTGCTGTGTGATCCTTCGAACACTCTGAGGTATCCCGCTGTGTTCACGGCTGGAAAAAGCTCCTGGATGACTTTGAATGGGAGGCAGCCAGCGGAGCTCTGCCTCACAGTCCCATGCTGCTCACTTATACAGATTTAATGTAGTCATTTATGTGTTGGGAGTTGTGATGTAAGCATGCCTGTGTGAGTGAGTGTGTGATCCACAGAGACGGAGAGAGAGACTGATGAGAGGGAGAGAAACAGATAGTGAGAGAGGGAGGGAGGGAGGGGACTGGAGAGGCTTACCTCCTGTTCCTCGCCTCCTCTCTCCCCCCTCCCCTCGCCGATGCAGAGAGGGTTGGCTGCTCTGGCGATATTCTCTGGAGAACCAGCACATCGCGGCCCCTCTCCCTCAGACACACGCGGACTGCCTCGTCACTCTGGGGCTGGTCAGAGAGAGAAGAGGTGAGGGAGTGTGTTATCACCAAGGAGATTCCCCTCTTTTTTCTCCCACTCACACAAATCACCACTGATTTCCATCATAATACTCTGTCAAAGCCCTGCACTGTAAATGAAAGAGAATTTCCATAAATCATTATTCAATCCTTATCGGCGGAGCCCATTCAGGGATTTACATAAAAGACTCGCACGCATTTTAATTACAAATACCAAAAAGCCTATTAAATCATGGGTGGTGTCCAGAGACAATCTGTTTCCAGCTGTCAAAGGGTTAAACTCTGGTAACACTGGTTTAGAGCAGGGCAGCAACTACCAATTGTTTTCATTATTGATTCATCTGCAGATAATGTTTTCAATTAATTAATTATTGCTGAGTCTTGGACACGTACGAAAATGGACAGCACATAACATAGCCTGTTATGTTTTCAGCGTGTTGTTTTATTTGACCAAAAGTCAAAATAACCAAAAATGTTTAGTTTAGAAAATAATGATGAATAAGGAAAGAATATTATTTGACCATGAAAATGGTTGTCAATTATGTTTCTGTCAGTCGTCTCATCCATGAATCCACGTATAGTTTGAGTTTAAGAGGTGAGTTTCAACAGAGTTGGTCTTGAACCACCATGCAGTGCAATAAATGATAAATTCATCATCATCATGTTGCCAACCGTCTCCCACCCTCCGTTTCACACTCTCACTTTCTTTCTCTGTTAGTCACACAATGTCCCCTAATCATAATGTTTGTTTGATATGTTGATGCAACACTGTTTACCTTAGACTTTAACTAATATTTTCAACATACTCGTTTAAATATAACTTTCTTTAAGCACACAATTAGAAAGATTGTTTTTGCAGCATCTTTGAAGTATAGAGATGGCTGGTAGCTGCTTGACAGTCGAGGGTCTGGACCAGAGATATTGGTCTTAATGAGGAGTTCACTGTATGGTGCACGCACATGCATCCTTCCTCAGCTAACCCCCCCTTCACCCCCACTCTCTTTGGCCATCAGTCAATGCAACACAAGCCTCTGTGCATGCAATTAGCCGGGCAGACAGACTGAAAGTGGTTGCAGTTTTCTGCCCTAATTGCCGTTTGCAGAGAAGCACACAGGACCCTTTAGCCAAGCATGACTTCCCGGCACATTAACACTTATCTGGGATCTGTGGACATGCATATATAAATACATACACAGACAAATGCATTGACAAAACATGCAAGCAAACAACTATAATTTCTTAACTGTGTACATCACTGAGTAGACCAATTTTTAACATTAATATTATAGTCCCCCAGTGGCCTCTTTAAACAGAAGAGAGGTTTTCAAAGCCTCAGGAAGAACCATTTATGTAAATATGTGCGGGCAGTTTTTTAAGTGCTGTGATTTATGATGTGAGTTTAAATGTCTGCTAATGTGACAACTTATGAATTACATTAAATTAATGTTATGTTAATATGAGATGCACTTGTGAAAGTACTTTCATGTACTGATAGGAGTATCCTGTGTATCCTTGCCAAAGGCGGTAATGTCCTGTCACAGGATCAGTATGATGTAAGGTTAGGGGCATGACGGAAATCACAGAACTAGAACATTCCCAGAAAGGAAAGCCTGCGCTGATTAGCTTCCTGGTTCTTTGGAAAACACATTGGTGGTTTTATCTTTATCACGATGTGACGTTCACAGTGTGTTCTTACTGCAGCTTCATCAAAGGCCGCTGTGTTTGTCTGACTAAGTGCGACATCAAAGCAAGCTGAATTATTTCCTATAATTAACAGCAGTGTCTCAGTGTACTGTTTACGGGTCAAACAGCAAACAAACCTTTCCTGACAATGAATTATTGATCAGGCCTCCACTGCAGGCCACTGCTCAGTCGGCACTAGGCTTTGTGGTTACCAGTGCCCCAGCAAAAAAACATAATCAGGCTTCTAGAGTGGATGCTTATAATGAGATAAAGTGCCAGGCTACAGCGTTCTCACATTAGCCTGTTGGTGACCTCGACTCACATTCACCACCAAAGTCCTCCCAACATGGACACCGTCAGCTGAAGAGTAAACACTACTTATCAGGCCTCTGCACAAAGTCATGTCCCGCCAAACGGTTTGTCTCTTTCAGGGTTCCAGATGCATACCGCTGGCTGGAGGGAAACTTTCTGTCTGCACGTCTCAATGCTGCTGCGGCACGTCTAGCACGCATGGTATGGAACACTTAAAGGGAACTGGAAGGCATCAGTTCAGACAGGGCGCAGATTTGTACAAAATTAGACTCAAGGAATAGCGTGGATCACACAGAATGGGAATATGAGGAGTACAAAGGATTCATACATCAGCATTGTTTTCAAAGGAGCCTTTGATGCAGATGCACTTCATTATCTCCAATTATAATTAGCAGAAATTCCTGTGTTTAGCTTTGATAAAATATTGTAAAGAATTGTATGTCCATGTTATGTAAAATATGTAAACATAAGCTTTTTGAGGCTTCATGAATGGAAGAGTAGCTGTATGTTCTAATCATATGGATAGAGCAAAGAAAAGTAATGTTATGTTGGGTGTAAGAAAAGTGCGCAACAGATGATCACGCACAACTCCAGTATCTACCCCTGAATAATTGAATACAGTGGTAATTTAATATGAGAAAAGAACAAGTGATTCCTAAAATCAAAACTGGTATCTTTAACATTTAAACCCAACGGGATTTTGCAGCAAAATTAATAATGAATAGATACATGTTATTTTTTCATATTTAAGGACATAGCGTAACAATCATGATGTTCCTGCGCCAGAATCTCTCACACATTTGAACAGTTGTGCAGTCTACCGTATATTAAGCATCCCTCTTTCCACCAGCTGGGATTAACTGACTTCTAAGCTCTTTAAGGTCTGGGTTTAGATATTTATATGAGTCACATGTTTTACAGTATATGCATTGTAGCATCATTGGATTACTTTAAACCATTTTATAATCTAGAAACACCAGGATATACTCTCACATCATCTAAATATTTCTATTTGATGTCAAGTATTAAAAGTCAGCTTATCTGGCCATTACCACTAACATTACATAAGTGACTCATACATGTCATTGGTGTACTGCTTTGTATTCACAGTATGAAAAACTTGGCACAATACATGTTTCTAAAACAAAAACGGTAAATCAGATTGTTGTATTATGTAGCACTAGCATTTGATCATATGCAGATTGGCAGTGCCTACTGTAAGTCTAAACAAAAGGTTCCTATATGCAATAAGAACATTGATAAGAAGATCTAGCCTTGTGGAAAGGTCAGAGACCCAATGTACTGGAATCCACCCTAAATCCACACAATGTCTTGGCATGGTGGTCTGGCAACTTGCGTCAACTTTTCCTGCCATTGTTGCTCAGTTCAGCACACAGCTGGCAGGAAGGGAGAAGCTGAGCCCACCCTGAGGTCAGCCAATCACAAGTGTCCTAGGCAGCCAACTGGCAGGTGATGTAATGTTTTTTTTAAACTGCGCAGGCTGAACTGAACATTCAGTACCTGAACTTACGTTTTCAAGGATGCTGCCATACTGAAAGAGACAAATTGCACTCTAAAAGTTTGTAAAGTGTCTGTAATGACATTGCAACTGTGAAAGGCCAAGCCAATGTTGAATTTAATGGATACAGTGCATCTGGTAAGTCAATTTTATGCATATGAACACAATCTACGATGCAATATTCTGTAATGAAGTATTCTATATACAGTTTATTGCAGTAGTCTGGAGACTTTTTTTTGGTATATTCATTTGAATAAAGGATTTTTGTAGTCTGGAGAGAATCTTAATGACAACATACATCTTCAGAGAAAGCAGAGACACTATAGGCATGTATGGAGGCCAATAAAAACAGACAACAAAATGAAAAGTGGTTTGATGGATGGAACACTGCAGGGAGTGTGAGAAACGATGCTTGGGATGCTCACAGAACAGCAGCATAAACACCACACTAAGTAAAAAGGGATGATGTCACGGAATATTTAAGGATGAAGCATGCTAATTCAGTGTTAATAATGACATAAAAAGGACTAAGAAGATAAGCAGTTTGTCAAATTGTTCTCACGGTAACAAAGCCAAAAATAGCTATACATGAGAAAGGTACATTCTGAATGCAGCAGGATTGTTGTGTATCTCACCTCACTTGTCCTCTCCGGGCCCTTGCTGTGGTTCTGCAGGAAGCGGCAGCCATCCTTGGCCAGTCTCTGGACCATCTCCAGTCGGGACAGATCCTCCTTATCATGCAGGATACACATGCTCCCCGGCTGCAGTGCAGGGGATGCGGAGAACATGTACTTCAGGCCACAGTCCCACGACATCGCCGGCGACCTACTACAGGCTGCACACCAGAGAAAAAAACAGTAGGGCTCCTGCCTCTGAGCTATAACTACTCTGAAAAAGAGTAGAGTGTAGAGCCAAAAAATGTGTGTATTTGTGTTTCTGTGTATGCTGCCCAGGTGAGTTCTAATGTCATTGCAGCCAAAGTCAATCCCGGTCGCTGTAGCTGAGAGGCACACGCAGAAAAGGTATCCAGGTATCTCTCTGTGCTTGGCTTCACTAAATGACAGTTCCCCTCTCTCTGTCCTTCCCTTGTTTTTCACTGCTGGGGAGGGGAGTGAGGTATGAACACAGTGGACTCAGGAAACATCTGGTGAGCTGGACAGCCCAAAAAAGGAAGTTTCACAATCTCACGAAAGCAAAGGGGAGAGTGTAGATTCAGGATTGGGCAGGGAGGGACATTACATTGGAAGGTCAAACACTTGTTAGGGTGGAGACGTATGACGTGTGAGGAGGTTTTAGGTCACTCAGGCACAAGCACTAAAACAATACATTACTGTTCTGTTTTCAGTCTTTAAAATGTCAGAAAAAGTGTCCATTAAAGGCTCCCAAATATCAAGGCATGTCCAAGTAAAAGTCAACTTTAATGTCAATCTTTCAGTTTGTGTGTACAGACAGAGAGATCGAAATAACGTTTCCAACAATCCCGAATACAAAAATGGTATTACACTGATTATTTCTTCCACAAATACGAACCCAGACTAATTTATTAATTAGGTCAACCCACCACAGTTAAATGTCACATTTAAAAAGGTGGAACCAAATTATTCTTGATGTTAAAAAATTGATTCATTCCCTAATCAAATAGCTTCCTTTAGCTGATCAACTAACCAATTCATTGAAACTCTATTTCAGCAGAATAACACAGCTACAGTAAAGCCTTGCAGGTACCAATGGAGTTTTTATTCCTAGTGATGCTATAGTAAAGCTTTGTTGAGCTGTCCCCTTACTGTTGTATCTAATCTGCGTCGTGCACAAAGCGTCCCTTCTTATTAAAGATCACCGACTTGTCAGACACTTGCTAATTAAATGAAGATGGTCACCAGCGTGATCCTACACATATTGATGAAGGTAAAGCAAGGACATTAATCCTTCCTATGAAGACTTTATCTGTTAGCGTTATATCTTTTCCCCTCTGTCAGCACAGCAGTGTGATGCTTGACTGGGTCCTTCCAAAGCCTTTCAATTGTGCTGCTGGTCTAAACTGCTGACACAGCAAACTGCAGAATGAGAAAAGGTCCCCCATCTCTAGGTGGTGCGTCTTTTTCATGTGAGGTTAAGACCCATAATTCTACTTTGCTCTTATCTGATTGGGAAAATGCCCATTGCCCTCATATGCACTATTTGCATTCATAATTTCAGTTAAATAATGAAATCCCTAAATTCTTTTTTGGCAATTATTCATTACAGCTGGGGTCTCTATATTCAGAATGCACTGATAAAGCCTCTTCATCCTTTGCTACTTCAACAGCCTAATAAAATAGGCTTAGAATAATCCTCAGCTTATTGGTTATACAAAACTGACTTCATTGAGAAATGAAATTCATTTTACCACATCATTGATTTGAACATGTGTAGCTTGTAGACCTAGCCACTGTCCTATATCTTACTGTATACAAGCAGAAGGATATTCTATACCTTTTCACTATGCTATGGAAAGGAAATTGTTGGCCTTGAATTTCTAAAAAACAACCTTCTTTCCTTCTCTGTTCCTTAGTGAGACAACGCCAGGAAGACAACTCTAGCTTTAATGTGCTACCACTGACCCATTTTCTCAAGTAAATTAATTGCAAAGTGAGAATGCCTACAGTCAGACTTTTTAGCAAGCTCGCTCTAACACAGCCGTCTTTAACCAGGGACTCCCATGACAACCATGGGGAGGTACATGGTTACTGTAGGCCTGTGGCACGGCAATAGAGGGAAAAACTGATGAAACTCTACTGAGCCTGTTGCAGTACACACTTTACAAAATAACACTACAACTTCACAATCTCAAAAAATGAAAGAAGTTACTCAACACCAGAAACAATGACATCACCACATGTGTATGAATTATGACTAGAATCCTTGTTTTCTGCACTTATACATTACTAAAGCACAAATTAAATTAGACAAAAACAGAAAAGTGATACATGAGCTTCCTTTCAGACTTGGAAGTTAATTTGTAGGGACCACATGAGGACAGTATGAGTATTAAAACATAAAAGCATGCTGTCTCCTACAGGAACATCTGTGGTTTTTTAAAGGTAATAAACCCTACTTTAAGAAGACGCACTATAAAAAGTATCGAAAACACACTAACTGCCATTTTTAGATTATTCAAATTCCTTATTATCCAATTTAAATCAGGAACATTTAATCTACGACACAATAAATAAAATATGGTTTTAACCTGGTTTCTATATATTTGGACTCTTTTTATGACATGCATTTATTGACAGAATAGCCTGTACATTAAACTAAAGCAGTCTAAAAACTAGCATTCCAACAAATTATCCTATTTCACGTGGTGTAATGTTCTGCCATTCACTGAATATTTGTATATTCAAAATCTACATAACAGTAAATTGTTGATGCATTTGGAAATGTCACTATCACCTCAGTATCATCAATGCATCTTGTGCCAACCATAGACTTAACACAAATTGTTTTCTTTGTTTACAAACGATTATTTTAAAACAAATCAAAACTAATGTCACTTCCGGTTATCGTCTTTGACACCCAGGTAAACACATTATACTCCTAACTGTTTAACAGCCTGATTATCGTTTCCAACAAGGATCAATAAAGAACAATGACGGTTATATGAACTCAAAACATTGGTAAGTCTTGGCTTTTGAGAAAATCGTTATCCCTGTCCCTGTGACTGATGTAGGCCTAGTAGTTGACTAGTAAGTTAATTATAACCATGCTAAGCTAGCGTTAGCATTAGCAGAGAGTAGCAGACAGTGGTAGCATGCGTCACACCTGGACAACTGAACTGACACTTAAAGTACATCCCAGCTACAAATACAATATTACCAATGAATGTTGTTAATACTTTTGTGAGGTTGCTTACTTACTTTGTTCTTGCTTTTAGTTCTTGAACTTGTACAGTATTTGTTGTATGATTTCTGTTGCGTGGTGCTGCTACTACAATGGGAGGGCGCTATTGAGCACAGTATAGATTTATGTCTATGAATCCCAAATCGGTGTTACCTATGGGATTTCCTCCATCATTCTTAGTAATATTTAAATAATAAAACCCTCAATTTCTTCTTGACCGGTGGTGGAAAGTCATGGCTAACGATGTCATTGTGGTGAGGTATTTGTACTTTACTTGAAGGTAGTGTAGGTAATTCACTTCAGAAACACTTTTTGTTATATTCCATGGAATGCTCTTGACATCCCGATAGCAATGAATACATTAAATGCTTTGACAATAAATATATACAAATATTTCATCTGTGGAAGCCGTGGCGCTGTAAAAAGCACGACCAATTATCTGAGCCGACCCGGCCGGTCAGCCTTCCATCTAGTGCACAAACTTATCTCGTGCCCTCATTGGTCATGTGCGTGTTCGTGTGTGTTGGAGGAGGGGCTCTGTAAGGAAGGCCCAATCCCAAACCACGCCCTACACCCTACCCCTACCTTTATATATACAGTCTATGACCCCTACACACTACCCCTACGTTTGCGCGTTCGCGCGGATGGTCCACCACATTAAGTGCTGTTCCAAATCAACGAGTGTGGAGGAGGAGTGGGTTATCAAGCCCTCAAACAGCGAGTCTTCATCGGTGCTGACCATGGTGCTGACTGGAGACCAGTCTCTACCTGACCGATCTCAACGATGTGTGTGTCCGTCAGGAAACATGCTGTTTACAAGTAGTTCCAGCAAACATCCACTGATAAATTGCGATGTTAACAACCTCATGATAACCTCATATTTGTTTAACTTAGGATCATTTCCTGTTTCTGCCGGAGAGAGGGGAGTTTGTCCCAAAGCTTGCCGCTGTATTTACTCCCTCCATCTGACAGGAGGGAGCCTCGTTGAGCTGCGAGTGTCACTCCACGCAGTTCACGGGAGTGTGTAGGGGTAGGGTGTAGGGCGTGGTTTGGGATTGGGCCTCCGTTTTGCTTAGGAACCTTCCTAGTGAAATGACCCGGAAGTACCTCAGTGGCAGCCATGATAAGAGCCGTTCAAATTCTCTAGTCTAGATGAAAGGAAAGGAGGTTTCAAACTTCCTTTATAACCTCCTTTAGCTTAGGAACCACTGGACCTTCCTTTACGACAGAAAAGGAGAAAATGCTGCCCCACAATGCCTTGCGGCCGCAGCATTTGCCGTCACACAACAGTCGGCCGTTCACGGAAACAACCGATTATGACCGAGAAATTATATCATGAAAGTTACGGTGCTTATTAAGCATTTTAAAACGTATGTGGTAACTTGCCAAAGTGCTTTGTTTTGAACGTTCAGTATTATAATCAAAAAGAGAAATATGAACGTTAGTTTTTACTGAAATGATCAAATAAAGTCAACATTTCACAGTATTTACTGAGCTGTGTGGGGTTTGTTAAACTTTTAAAAGATGTTTGAATGGTGATATACACAGTGATAGATGTTAAGGACTAACGTTTATAATAAATACATTTGTATTTATTTTAAGATCTTTTCATACAATAATACGTATTGGGATCATTTGTATTAAAGGTAGGGTAGGTAAGAATGGAGAAACCAGCTCGAGTGCGCTAGAATTTGAAAGTACCCGCAGCCGAAAAAAATCTTCCCCTTCCTTCAGACTTCCTAAAGGCCCGGTGCGATCTTCGGTGTCGATAGATGACGATAGATGTCGATAGATGTCGATAGATGTTGATAGACGTCGATAGATGTCGATAGATGTCTGGCCGTCGATGAGCGTCCTGTCGCCCTACTCAGATTGGTGTGTCCTGGACCGTCGTGTCTTTTCGGCCGTTGGCAAAATAAATTACTGTTCAGCTTAGCGAATCAGTGCATGAGAAGCGAAACGGAAGTGAGGGACCCAAACAAACGATTAAGAAGGCAAATATGAGATTTCATTTAACTCCAGCTCCCGACACAGGTTCGGGAAAGCCCCATGAGCTTCTCGCTGTAGAGTGAAAATGGAACGCACACGCTATTTGTTGTTTGTTTATATTGCGCAGTCTGTTCTTCTTCTCTCGGTGTATCATGCAGTCTGTCTTCCGGTTGTTGCCTCTTTTGAATGACGAATACACACTACCGCCACCTGC